AGCAGGGATTAACACCAGACAAACAATCAAGCAGAAAACAATACTCTAATCAAGGAACTACTAAGAAGAAAACCATACCCCCATCACAATTGGTAGGGCAAGCTACTGTATATAGACAGGGAGCAAACCCCACATTCACTAGCACTGATGATGTTACCTAGTCAGGTAATGAAATATCTGCAATCAAACAACCAAGCTCAGAGAGCACCAAGAATTCCATAGGTTATCTATCCTGAACAGGCTATGTCCTTTTCAGTTCAACTGAAATGCAATTATGCCATCTTTGACTATCAGCCGAAATAGAGATGTATTAGATTAGAGGTTGGCAATTGTGTTAGGTCCAAGGGACCATATAGTGGCCAGATGTCTCCTAGCCTGCCTAAAATCTTGCCAGGTTGCTAAATCTTATGTGATGTTTGCAATCTTATCTCAAATTCTTATGTGGGAATGGCAAATTATATAAGAATTTCAAATTCAGAAGTAGGGCTTTGCAAGGATTTTGAATTCTTGTGAAAAATCTCATGAGTGTTGACAACCTGGATTAATTTCAGTCCTTCTGTATGATTTTAATGTGAATATGGTGAGTTATAGATGCTGTTTTTGATAGCATCAGACTTGGGTTAAGAGTTACCACGTAAAGCTTGGTATAAATAAATCATAAAGAGCTGATTATATCAAACTGGAAAATTAATTTAATCTGGTCAACCATAAACCATGGGAAAATTTCCAGAGCCTGATAGTATATTACAATCTGATGAGAGGCCAAGCAAATAGAGACCAGCAGATGGATTTCAGTATTGTTACATGCAGATTATATGGTTTCTGTGCCTTTTTTTATGTATACACTTTTCAGGTACTTCCTAGACTCTATTTTGGACTGAAATTCTCCACCTGTATCATAGCATGTGGATAAGAAATCATCTGTTTTAGACAGATAGGAAAAAATAAATTACTTCACTCAGGAAGAAGTTTCTTATAAATTAATAAGCTCAGGGGATGACAGTATTTAATGTATCAGCCAATACATATGAAAACCACTTAATTTGACCAGTCAAATTCCTCTGGTTTTATCATTTTTCTCGGGGTCTCTGGCATATGCCCTTCCCTGTGAAAGGCAGTTGTGCCAATTGTGTCTTCTCCCTGCATTTGGGATTCACAGGAGAAGCAATTCCAACTGCAAATAAAATTTAAAATGTATCTGAAAATAATGTTGGAAACTCTAAATGGCTTTCCTGCATCTCTTGCCAGGACTGAGTGAAATGAGTCAGGGTGAGAATGGAACCCTAAAGTATGAGATTACATACCATTTCCATATGAGCATTGTAATAACTCTGCAATATTTTAAGCCTAAATTTTCAGGTTTTAAAATAGGGAAGTGGCAGGTTTTTCAACACACACACACACACACACACACACACACACACACTGAGAGAGAGAGAGAGGGGAACATATTCCATCCAAATAATAACATGTAAAAAAGCTGAACCTCTGGAAAGAAAGCAGTTGATCTATGCTCAAAATATAGTTCAATAATGCCTTTCCTTTTTTTTTTTTGAAAGGAAAACAATTATATTATATAGAGAGCATGTCAAAAAAGAAAAATATTGAATAATCATGGAGACGTGATTTTATCTCAACATCCTGAATCATTAGCACTAGCCACCTTTTTTCAACCTAATGGTTGGAATGATGAAAAAATTTCTCAGCCAATATGAAATTATGTACATGTTTGTGAACATACTTACAAACAAAACAAACCTGTACTTGCTATCTAACTCACTATTCAGCAATAGTAGGATTAACTTATAGTTCATTATGAAGCAACATTGCAGGGATATTTAGTTTAGTATTACAGAATCATCTTGAGTCCCATGTTGTTCAACAAATTGTGATTTTTTTTTGTACTGCTGTGGCTTAAATTTCTTTTTTTTAACCATCTTATCACACACAAACACACATACAAGGAGACACACGCACACATATCTTCCTTTTAATTTTCCAAAAGGAAAGAAAAGATTGACAAACTTCTCCTAGATGTGTGGGGAGTTCTTGAGCTTTCTGTACATACAAATGACCATGAGGGATAAGTTTATAAATATATAGGTGTATAAGTGAAAATAGTTTGTCTTTACATGCAACCAGTTTTGGTGGTGTACACCTTGTCTGGTTTAATTATGTTCCAGTGGAAGGGAAGTCCTTTCAAAGCATGGATATCCAGAATGACTGCAGAATCATGAGGAGATAAATAGCGGGGGGATGAACATAAATATTATTTACTTCCTCATAGTAATTGGAATGATAAAGATTCAAGAGATATTTATATAAACAACTAACTGCAAGTTCCTTCATTATCAGTGAAAGGATCTGTCACTTTCAAGATTCACAGAAAGAAAATAAGATAACAACAACAACAACAATAATAATATAATAAATTAAATAATAAATAAAAATAAGAAAATAAGAAAATAAAGGAACTGTGTGAGAATCACACTTGGAGAAGAATCTTTTTTCAGTTTGAGGCAAATGTCAAGCAATCTGACAATAAAAGAGAAAGATGGAAACAAGAAGAAATTTTAAAGCATACTGGAATGTAACAGGGGAATTAGATGGCAGGTTTTGGCCAAGTGTGATGCATTTTATAACTAAGGTTAAATAAAAGCAAAGTAAAATTCACTGTATTCATCCCTGTAGAGAAAGCTTCTGCTTTGCCCAACTCTGTTGTATTCTTTCCCCACCCAGCCAGCCAGTGAAAAGCAGTAATCAATTTTGCTGTACTCAAAGCTTTTCATGTTGTGTTTTCTCTAAGCCGGATTTTGATGACAGGCGGTTAGGCCGACCAACTTCTATGCTGAGATCGTATCGCCAGATGTCCATTATTTCATTGTCCTCCTTGAATTCTGACTGCACTACGCCAAGCAAGATTCCTGCCGAAAGGTTAGTAATGTGCCATCTTCCTGCCATGAGTTCTCTGCAAGATACAGACCAGGAGGGAACTGTCTACAGAACAGAACAAATTATATTAAGAAAATACAGCACACCACGACTGAACAGAGATAGTAAGAATCTAATCTTGCTTCGTCTAAAATAAAAACTATTACAAAAGTAAATGCTGCTTCTAAAATTAGCAGTGGCAGGCTGACAGGCCTGAAAATTGAAACTGTATTGAAGATTTATTTGCCGTCACTCCAGCACCCATACACATGTTGATTAAAACTCTATATTAAGCATATAGGTAATATTTTTGACTGTTTCCAAAAGACACAACAGCTTTAGAGTATGCAGCTTCCCAAATATTGATGTCACCTTCTTGGATTACCTTTCTGCATAGTTGAACCTGATATGTAACTTCCAGTTGTTCACTGTTGTCTTATAGCATCAACCAGGAAAGTTTTCCTATATTTTGGAGCTAAGTTTTGGAGCCACTCCCTAACCAATAATCATTGAATAAATAAAATGTAGAATTTCTAAATTAAAAAAAATGTTTTTCTAATATAATCAGTATCAGTTTTCCTTTGTTTTCTTATTTATCCCATTCCAAGCCTATTGTAATCATGTCCTCAAGTGAAATCTTTGAAAGTTCTCCAGTACCTTCAGCAAACGGTTAGGACTTTCTCAGGTCACCCGCCTCTGATTTGTTGTCAATTCCTGTTTCATCTCTTTTCTGGCAGAGGAATGAATGCCACTACCAAAAAGAAAAGGCTGCGTAGCTGAAATGTTTTCCCTAACTAGTTTCTGACTGCTATGACTTCCAATTCCTGCTTTCCCTCTGGAACTGCCTTATGTCATTGGATTGCCATATTGGAAAGAACCTTTGCAAGGGAATGGCAGTGCTGTGGGCAGATTAATTAAGTTAATTAATTTGTTTCCATTTACATCTGCAGCTTTGAACTGGAAGTCATGTCACCAAAGGCAACAGAATCTGTGTCAGATGAAAATGGGCGTCTGATAGGCAGCCAGCCTGAAGTGAAAATGAGGAAATGCCGGAAGAGAGAAAAGAGAAGCAGTGTAGTACTTGCAGACAAAAAACCTTCTGAACTTCCTGATGTGAAATGTGTAAGTTACTGTAACAGGGTAACTTTTGTCCGTTTCATATTAGACACATTTTAACCAACCTGTGGCCTTTAAAGTGACATTAAAAACAAAAACGAAACCCCACCAACTTGGATTATTTCAAGATGTAACAGCCAGTTTGGTCAGGTGGCAACATAACATGTTGTGAAGATGCATCACCATGTTTAACAATCTCAGAGAAAGGGAATCTGCCTTGAAATTGACTTTCTCTAGGTGAATCTGCTGGCTGATACAAAGGCAGATGTTGGGTGGGTGTTTGCACAGGCAGTCTGGAGGGGAATAGCTGGCTGCACATCTGTGGCCTCCAGTTCCAACTGAGGTTCCTTCAAGATAAATAGATGCTCACTTTGAATCTTGTTAAAGGAATAAAACATCTTGTTACGACACCACAGCTTTGCAAACTATGCTATAAACAAAGCAAAGCTGAAGACTACCTCACTGGCACCTTTTTGGGCCATTTATCATCTGAGCACTTTGATCACACTAATATATCATCATCCTGAATTTATATAACTTGCACTGCACAATTTTATAATAACCCTGGGAGGGGGGAGAGTTTTGAGTATCAAAAATGCAATATCATTAAAGAAAAATAAATAAAAATCCACATCGGTTCAGCAAAGAAGCTTCATTCAATTTTGTTTGCTGTCAAGAAGTACAACTAAATGAAGATCAGGCTAGATCACAGATCCTTTAGAAGAATTATAGCAAAGTATGCAAAGTTATGTCTGGGCATAAACTGCTTATCAGAAGACCATCACCTAATCTATTTTTTTTTTTACCCCAGGAGTAAATTGGGTCTCTTTTGTGATTGCCTAAAATACAAAGACAAAACATTCAAAGTTTTGTGCTATTCTAAATTCTTGTTTCTAATTTCTACTGAGATTAGAATTTAATTTTCTGTTTTTCAAAATTATGGTGGAATAAACTGGTAATGCTTAGTATGTGCTGGCCTGAGGTTTTTGAAAAGAGTTCATTGTGGGCCCTTATGCCACTTCTTCACTAAATAAGGAAATATAGAATTCAGAAATTGGAAAAATCAACTATCTGATATGAAAAGCTTTTCAAGTATATTTATGTATACATCTTCCATGACCACTCTTCAGATTTTTCAGTTATTGTCACAATGGAACAATATTTAGAATGAATATTATATTTCATTTTAGGATCTGTATTATTTTTGAAAAATGTAAACCTGGTTTCCTATCACATTCTGGCTAAACACACATATGCCAAACCATGACAGATGCTTCTGAAATTGGATATGTGTGTGTGTGTGTGTGTGTGTGTGTGTATGTATGTATGTGACAAAAACTGGAAGTTTACAGGTAATCAAAGAAAAATATTTTTTTTCCTAAGCTGATCACATCTCATAATCTTTTCTTTATATCCAATCAGCAAGTGGCAACTGAACTAATTCATTCTGAATTACATTCATACCATGATCTTATTCATGTCTATTTTTTTAAAAAAATGAACCTGTATTTAATAGCTTTTACACCTAGGCAAATCTAGTTGTAGATATAGACCTAAAGTATTAAAAGATGCTGCAGTTTGTGGAGAGAGAGAGAGAGAGAGAGAGAGAGAGAGAGAGAAGATATAGGCATCCTGGTGTTATGAAGATATTTTGGACTTCAATTTCCATGAGCTCCAGCAAGTGCAGCCAGTGGCAGATAGTGTGATAATTATAGTCCAAAACAACTGGACAACAGTAAGTTATGTCTATCTAGTATAGATTGAATTTACTTTCCTTTTTTTCCTCTGTGCCCTTGGGCAAGTCTTGAGCAGAAGGTCCAAGCTGATTATGCTCTTAGAGGACAATTCAAATTCTACTGACTTTAACAGAGCAATTCCAACTGAATTCAACAGCCCTGAATGGCATCCTTAGGTCAATAAATGGCAGCTATTGTGTTTGCTTAATACATTACTGAGTTTATATTTTCTTGAGTTATCCAGGAACAGTTTCTTTTGTGACAGTCTACAATTCAGGAACTGTCCCTTCATACAACTGGGAAAAAAAAATGTTCTTCAATATTACTGAAGGATGCAATCAGATTGTAACTATTTTGTCCCATATATTTAAAAAAGCAACCTATTAAAACTAAACGATTTACTTTCTTGAGTTGTATACTTTGGCTTTTTTTCTTGTTGTTATGACTGTGCAGCTGTCAAGAAAATACGAATTTATGAGTGACACCAACCTTTCTGAACATCTGGATGTACCTCACAAAACATCTGTTCTTAAGCAAATGAGTTTTGCCAGCCGTTCGATGCCAACCATACCAGGTAAGCTAATTAAGACAAGAGAATGAAACCTCTGCAGTTTTAGGCTGTCATTAATTTTTAAAAAAACAATAAAATTCACTCCTGTTCATTTAAAAAATAACAATGCTGTTATGTTATATAATTGTGCCAGATATGAAACAGTGTACAAGCAGTTTCAATTTCTTTTGAATCTAGACAATATATTTTCATGTAGGCAAAACCTACATTACATACTATTATTCAGATATTTTAAAATCCTTCTTGTCCTTGAGAACAGTTTTTTTTTTTTTTGAAGCATCAGCATGTATCTTGGGGAATGTTCTTTCTCTTTCACTCACGTAGACCCACAATCCCACTACTGAAGACTATACAAAGACTATATAAAGTGACTATATGTCACTTTATTCATACAAATATTTCTGTTCCATAATATAGGCATCTGGAATAGAGAGAAAAATAAAATGTAGTGAGCTTGTGGTAAAGGCAACAATTAAATATAGTGTTTAAAAGACAGGAAAGTAGTCAGTGTATATTTGAGGGGTAATCTCATAACTAGTAAATGTCAGAATTCAGCCATATACCTGCATTTCGCATTTATTTGTTTTTTTTATCATTTGTATGAGTGATCCCGGCAATTCCCCTCCTAAAAGTTCAGCATTCACATCTCAAATAAATGGTTGATCTTGCTGAATTTGTGAACATGTTCCAACAAACTGGGAGACATCCTAATCCTTTTCTTGTGTCCAAACTCTAGATGACTAGACTTCTTTTGGAATGAACATTTCCATAACAATAGTCAACTGATTAGCTATCCTGATCTTTGAATGTGTGTTTGAAATAGTTCCCATGTCTGCATATAGCCCCAAAGAAGGCTAATTGAAAAACAGTTTTCTTCAAGGCCAGAAAGAGGAATTGTTCCTCCATGCTGGTGCAGAAATGGCACCACAGCAGTCTTATTTTACAGAAAGAGATGCAAAGAGGATGGTTGGATCACTGGAAATGGATGGTCACTTCCCAATGCTCAAGGAGGCAAGGGGAAGCAGGATGATGAAATCAAATATTTTACAAGTTGCCATAGAATGGCTCTGAATTTTCTTTTTAACTTTATATATTAAATATATTATTTTTGTCACTACTTAAAGATGTTAGGGACAATGCAAAAGTAGGAGAATATTTCTCCTGATGTTTCAGTCTTCTGTGAGGGAGATTTTTGAAGAAAGATAGTGCATTCCATTAGTACACTCTAGTCACAGTTGACCATTTGGGTGAAAATTTAGTCTTCAGCCTTATTTGCAACACACACACACACACACACACAATGCAATACACATGGAGATAGAGAGAGAGATAACCCACTGATGTAAATACTAAGATATATATACGCCATTAATATGAATATACATTATAACACTTCTGAAATGTTCTCTATGATTACCAAGATCCAGACACATCGAAACGGGTCTTTCTGAATGTAAATATTCAGATTTATTTTTGCAATTTACTGATGTGGATTCCACTTTGCAACCGTATTGTGACTATGTGCACTGCACTGTTTTAAAGCTTTAACTCTATCAGTGTGCTGCCCAGCACTTGAAGAAACAAATGTGTCACAGAGAATGAGCCAGACAAGTATCCCACCCATCTTGGAAACAGATAAGAAAACTCTAAAAAGGAAGAAAATGAACCAGATCTTCAAAACAATAGTAAGTGCTAGTGTTTCTGTTCAAAATTTAGTCATTCAAACTTGCTAATATTCTGAAGAGACCTGCCCAATTTAGTTTATGTTGGATTACAGCATGCATCTACTTAAAATGATAAAAATCAGAGCTTTCCAAATCTATACTATAACAATCCCTCACTTTGCGTATGTTTTTTGCTTAATTATTTTATTTGATAGCTCATCTCCAAAGAAAAATTAGCTAGAAATGGAAGGGTTACTGACGTTTTTAATGATACAAAATATGCTACTTAATACATGCCGTCTGACCAAAATGCTGGAAATTTTTTGGCTATAGATTGTTGTTATTGGAAAAGGCTATATTTCATTTTTTTAAAAAAAATTCATAGATGATGACTGCATCATCATTTTAAAGCACTTCTAATAGATTGTTGCAATTATTGCAACAATGTTGTAATACTGTAATGAGCACCATCAGCTGATTAACTGGCACAGTTGGGGCATTTATTTAATGCCATCATGTTAAATTAACCAATGATGATTCAGGTCACCTTCATACCTAATATATCCCTCAGAAATCTAGTGACTTGTTAAAAAGGTACACATTGAACATTGACCACAAAAAATGTTTTTATGTTAGTTCTCCAGAGACAGAATTTCAGAGTATCAGCATTTTGATTCGTCAAGGGTTAATTCAAAAATAAATTGCACCAAATTTAATAGATTTTAAGTCTGCAGTCCTATGTCCTCTGGGACAATATTGCAGGACCATCAGATTAGGCAACTTTTCTTTATAAGGGCAGCAATACGATTCTGACCTCAGTAAGAGAAACTAGCATCTGATGCCCCCCACAACCTTCCATAAGCCTTTGCCAGTAGCTTTTTCAAGTGTCAGGAAAGTCCGATGTCAGGAAGGACAAGGAGTCATGTGGCAGGGATCATGCTGGAAGGGGCCAAGCATCCAAAAGATTTTTACTAATCCAAGCCCCAAAGTGACCTGGTCCAAAGTGGCTGAAATTATATGCTATCTTGAAAGCTTGTTTAAATTATTTCCACCGTATAATATAGAGAAAAATGAGCAGGAAACTGGGAGGCACAAGCTGTTGCTCAATTCTTCCTTGCCAATCTTATAGACAATTTTAGAGTGAGCTGAGGTGGGACTGTTCTCATAAATATATAGGATTGCTCCATTCATATAGAATCCAGAACCTGAGATTATTTTTGAGACTTGCCAAGAACAGCTCTTTCACAGAGCCAAATAATAGGTTTCATTTGATATGTTGCCTATAGCTATCTATCTTGTTTCTCTTGTTAGATTTACATTTTCCGATCTAATATTCAGAGATGTGAACCAAAACACAGTTCTCTTTCTGAATTTGCATTTTTCAAATGTTGCTATAGATAGCTTTCATTAGTGCTGGAGGAATAAATATTTTTTAGGAAGGTCATCTAACTTTGCACTGGGGAAACACTTCTCTTCTGGTTGTGCTGGGGAAATAAGTATTACAGCTCCCCTCTCCAGATGTTGCATTCCAAGTAAGATTCCTGATAATTAATCAGGGAAAATAAATTATTTAACTGCATATGATGCATCACATATGTGGGTATATATTTCCAGCACTGGAGCAGTATATTAAGTCATATCAAAACTGGACATCTTGCAGGAAGAGGGTGAACAAATCTCTCTTCTTAAATCACTTCTTTCCCTGATAGGAATCACACAACAACTGAAGTTTAAATACATCAGTCACTTAATTGGGCGCGCATAATTTGAGTTCATTCGGGCTTTTTACAATAATGTAGTTCTTGCAAGAAAAGAAGCCATTGAAACTGCTGATTGCCTCCAGGCCCAAGGGATTTACTATGGCATTTGTTCAATTACCTCCCAGAAATTAGTAGGGTAGCCAAAAGATCCTTTTAGCTTCCCATTCCTGGTGGGATATCAGTGGATGTCAGATGCATCTCTGGGGCAACAGTCAGCAGATCTCCAAAATTATCAAAGTATACTTGTTTTATCCAAGTCAGCCTGTTCTTTTAGACTTCAGTGGGTACTTCTTGTGCTTCTGCCACATATCAGTTAGCTAAGCTTCCTGTGTTCTTGGACAGAAGGAGACATTAAAGGCTATCCCTCCAAGTTTGTGATTTCTTCATTGGTTTCCATATGTTATTTGAAAAGCCAGCTATCGTGAGAATTGTCAGAAAAACTTAGGAAATGTTACCATATGATGTTCTGGCTTCACAATAACTGGGGGATTTTAATAGCAGTTCAGGATTAGGAGTTTAACATACAACCCAACCCCTTCTTCTTTGTGCTTAGAATAAGATCACTGAGAAATCCAAACGGTTAAGATCCTAACTTTTCCTTCTCTTCTATATAGTACAAGCCCAAGCAACCTGAAGATGGAAAGTGTACGGGTGAACAGCAATCTGATGTCTCAGAGCTGTGAATAAATTCCACTGTTTGGAAGAAAAGTAATTACTAGCAAGTAAAAAAACCAACAACAACCAAGATTCTAAATTGGAGATGAAGGCTGGCTTAGAATGTTGATAATGTATATACAAATCATTTATACAATCCAGTGTTTTAATCAAGACATAATGTTGTTACATTCCTAAATCCACAACATTGTGTCATATACAACATTTGTTAATCTGTGGGCCAGTTCTTAGGCTCAATATGCTGGGAATCAAGGGACATGAAGTGGTCATTGGAGAAAGCATGGATCTCTCACTGTGCATAGAAAATAGTAACACTGGACTTGATGCTTGTAATTCTTCTGCATTTTATTTGGACTTTATATTATGCATATGGCAGCAAATATATGTTTATAGCTATAATCCATTGCACATGTGTGCTTGATACCACATATTGCAATCCTGGTATACTAACACTGTAAACTGGATCTTAGTTGACCCCACTGAACTGGAAAATGTTTAATGAGGTTTAATGATTTGCTAAAATCATAATTTTATTCAAGCATAGTCTTACTTAATTCCATGGGAGCCATCATTATATATTTATCTACCATTGCCAAAATATTTCCTATGACCTCTCTTCTATATTTGATTTCTTTTTCCTGGAAAAACAAAACAAAGCAAAAGGATGGCTTAGTAACACATTTGTCTCATATTAGGAGGCAGTCTAACTTTCTTGGCTTAAGCAGTTTTGTTCCAAAATTGATCATGCCACTTTTCTCTACTACTACTGTCACTAAAGCCTCAAATTGTGATAGTCCAGCCTGGAGTGTGCCCACAAGTTTATAATTTTTGTTGTTTTTAAAATACTGTTTCATAAATTGTATCTTCTTTCTTTTAGGAAGTCATTTCAAAAATGTATATCTTTACTGGATCATTATGCAAAAATGATGTCAAAATATTCATTAGTTTCTGTAATTTCTAGCTGAAGCATGCAGTACAACTGCTTTGATCTAATAAACATATGATCAAAGGGACTTTTTAAAAAAGTGTTCAACTTCTTTGATTCAAGATGAAGCTGAAAGTTTCTTTGGAATTGCTAAACAAATTGGGGGTGTGGTATCAACTTAATCTTGATAACTGATATTCTGCTGTAATGGAACTTTAAAATGGGGAGCCTAGCATCACTTACTGTTTGTTTCCTCTTACCTGAAACATTTGCTAGCACAAGAAACAATCCAGTCTGAGTTAGGATACAGCTGTCATGGATAGAGGACTTTTCTTTGGAGTCTGCAATAGCTATCTCAGCTCTATATTACATAGGATTAGAGTATTGGAAAATATAAATACACCCATTCAAGTTCTCCTTTTGGTCCTATTACCATGAGAGGTGAGTTTGGTAGGACTATAAGCTTTCCAGGAGATCTGGAATTCCAGAAGAAGTCAATCTAGCCCCCTCTGTGTTATTCCTCCATCAAGAGGCAAAAACATATTTGTTTCAGCAGAAATATAACATACAAGCTGGTTTCACTGATGAATTGTGTAGGTTCTATCTTTTATTGATATTTATTTCATTATGTTTTGATTGTGTCCTTATTTTTTTACTATTGGTATCGTTTCTAATAGCCGATCAAAATTTTAACAGAACATGCACTATCAGATGTGCAGTCTATTCTTCATTCTGAGTGATGTCCTAGATGTAGGCGTTCCTTCCAGAAAGGTTAGCTGAAAACATTTATATGCCATTGACCAAGATTCAGTTACTGTGTGGTGCTCATCATGAGGCAAGATATAAGTTGATCACTGGAAAAAGACAGGAAAAGGGCTTGTATCCAGCCTCAGAGTAGGAAACTCGATTTGCTATTTTGAACTGGCAAGTTTGTTTCTTATATTTGCTTTTCCAGTCCATGTGAAACTCTTTGCAAGGGTAGTTCTGCACAAACGATTGATCGGGTACTGTTCCATTCTTCCAATGTAATTATTAAAAATCAAAAAGAATGACAACGTTCATTTATAAAATTGCTTCATTCCCTTCATTTAGAAAGGACTGCTTCCAGTGGGTAATCCTAATAAAATAATACTTATCATAGTGTTTATAATCTATCAGAAGTCTTTCATTATAGATTGCCTTTAGATCAAGTCTTCAAGTGCTCACTGAGTAGCAATAGAAAGAAATATCTCTACAATCTCTGTTTCTAAATATCACTTTTCCCATTTGCGTGATCTCATACTTACAGCTTAGTAGAACAAAAATCAGATGCCGCAACACGTACAGTTTTCACACAGGAAGTGAATCATGCTGACACCGTGAAGTGTTGAATGAATAAGTTATTATTTTTTCTTTTTTCTATCATCACATTTGGAGAGTGCTGCTCATTGCTTAATATTCATTTTGTAATATACAGGTTTTCCGCTAACATGAAGCTCATTGTTTAGCATACTTGTTAAAATATTTGTATTGAAACAAGGCATGTCAAGTTGAAAGGAGTTAATTTCATTTCTAATTGAAAATACAATATGTCATTTAGGCTCCATTTCTTTCTTCTGTTGCTTGGAAATAGACGATAATGAACCTTGCTTGAAAATGATAACATTGTATGTGACCATGCATACTTAACTTTTAATAGAAATGTGAAAAATCTATTTGATTTTCCTTTTTAATAAAACAAACAAAACCAAACTTGAAATATACATTTGGGAGGCCAGGTAAGTATAATTTGTGCATCAGTGAAACTAAGACTACTTAATCAACATATGGTCATAATTGGATGAGCTACTATTGCATGGTGGCTTACTAACAGTGGAATTCTGCTCACTTTATTGAGAAGTAGCTTTCCACTACACTTAAGGAGCATGTCCCCCCCCCCCCATTCATGGGTTAGGGTGAGTAGGGCCCCCGAATGGATGAAGCTTTTGTATATGTTTGTATGCAGTGATTTTAAAAAAGGCTCTTTTTTCTATTTGAATTGTTTCGGAGTCAGGTGGCAATAAACCCAATAAATAAATAAATACAATAAATGCACAGTTAGCCCATCAAGTTCAACATTATCTACTATAGTGACTGGCAGAGATTCTTTAGGATTCTGGATCAGGCTTTTCCAGCCATACTTGACAATAGTAAGGATTTATTTTCCATGCAAAGCATACAGAAGTACTAAAGAGCAATCCTTGCCCAATCTTAGAACTTTCTTAAATTTCATTGAACATTCACTGGTACACCTTATTTGAGTGGTTGAAGGCCATAATGCAGCCCCTTAATCTTCCAGGGGCCCCCCAAAAGGTTCTCTAGTGATATGGTAACACCACCAGGAGAAATGAGGCTGATTCTGTTCTTCCTGATTAGATGTTATAATGGTGAGAATTGGAGCAGAAGGCCTTAGACAGGCAAAGTGTTCCATCCTCAACCCTTATATTCCATTACCAGCACCACTTTTTTTGTAGAGAACCATTTTAAAAATGCATTAAATAATACGATTTTTGGGGGGGGGGGGAGAGAGATTCCCTCCGCTCATTAATATAAATATACACCCCACATTAAAAAAGACTGATGAATAGGACAATGAGCTGCAATGTCTTAAGGAATATTAAGGGTCATATGTGCTCCAGCTTTTGCCCATTCTTAGAACTTTCTTAAATGTCACGAAACATTCTTCAGTACACCTTATTCAAAAAATAATCCAAAATGACAGTGGTACTGCTACAGAAAGCTAACATTTCATACATAATCAAAAAGACAATATTACTAGAAAAGTCTAAAAATAGGGCTACTTTTAACTAGGCATTCATAACATGGACTGAACAATGACATATTTTCCCCCAAATCAGGATTAGTTTAATAATAAATATAGCATTGGGATTTGATATTTCCATCACCAGTTCAGGCAGACATTTAAGGAAGCAGTTAATTCCAGTAGTAGCTTGAAAAAGACAATTGGGCTAGGCAAATTCATGTTTCCATCACTTGTATATATTAATATATACTAACAAACCTAACTATATGCCAAAAGGTTTGTCCTGTTACTCTTCTATTTATTCTAAAGAAATTAAAGCCAATTAAGGCTGCAGTTGACCTTTCAGTGCCCATACGTATGTGTAGACACATACACCCATCTTCCTAGATAAGGATAAGGAAATACAACTAAATGTAGTTTACAGCAACACCATTCTTTATATCTTGCCATATCTTTCTATTTTTGCACACCGCCCTCTCTCCTAGCACATCCTGCATTGTCTTTGCTCTTTGAACTGGAAGTTCTCAAACTTTTTTTTTTTCTTTTGCTTATGGCCCCCTTCTGAGCCTCATTCACCTTTTTGACCCACCTCCTAGTCACTATTAGCTGTAAAAAAGGTACTTTATCATCTGCACTGTTTACTAATCTAAACTGTATCATTATAACATAACTGTTTTTATACTACAAAGACAAAGTATTTGTAGTAGCTAATAAAAATAATTCTATGCAGACATAACTGTGTAATAGAAAGCAACATTCTTAAAGTCATAAGATGTCTAGCAGCAGAATAAGGCCCCCTAGAAATATGGCATGGCCCCCTGGAGGAACATATGACCCACATTGGGAATCACTGCTTTAAACTTCTCATCTCTTTCTTTTTCAGATTTCTTCAGCTGCACCCAACCATGCAGTCTTCTCCCTCCCAACCTATTCATTGTTCTTTCATGTATTTGTTTTGCAATTGGATCCTTATTCAGTCTCTTCGTTTGAACAACAACCCCCTGTACTTCTTTCAGTCCACCTCTTTTTTGCACCCATGCATTCATGACTTTACCTCATTTTGTTTTGCCACACACATTTCTATTTCTTAAATAACATATTTTTATAATTCTTCTGACATACCTATTATTGGGGGAAGTGCACTGTTATACATAGACTTTGTCACTTCTGACAAATCTTCATTCATGACCTCATACTACCCATACCTTTCTACCAGCGACTTGCAAATCTTAAAAGTTCTCAGTTTTCCCAGTTTGGTATACATTTTATCACTGTACACAAATGATTCTACCTACTTTAATTTTTCACTATTTATTTATAACTTGCAATTGTTGAGTCCATTTTTCTTGCTAAACACAGCTATCTTGATCATTGATAGATTAATTTTCATAGTCATACTACTTATTGCATCTTAAGGTCTATCTAACATTAGATAGATTCTAACAATCTAATTATTTGGTTTTTCAATCAGCAACATGGCATACAAAAATACACAAACTTCCACATCTCCCATGTACGCATGTCTACCATCACCACAAATATTACTTATACATTTATCTGTAAATACAATAAATAACCAATCATCTTTGTCTGACTCTCTGCTTCTTCCTCAACACTGCACCATTCATTAAGCATTCTATGCATTCCCTTTATCATCCACGCTCTTATTACATTCAGCAACAAACCTTTGATTCCATACTCATGCAGCAATTCATAATTCATCCTATTCATTTTATCATATGCTTCTTCTTCAAATGAAGAAGCCATACATTTTCTTTCTCATGTTCATACATTTCTCAGCGGCCTGCTAAAGAGCCAAACACATCCTCTGCCCATCACAAAGCTTCAGTGCACTTCCTAAATTTTGCTCATTTTACTTCTTGTAGCCTTTCAGTGAATATCCTTCCAAACATCTGCTTAGGCACACTTAATATTTTTTTTCTTTTTCTTTTTGGTATTCACTCTTGCTACCTTTCCCTGTTACCTGTATGGGAAAAAAACAAAACAAAACAAAACTTTATAGAGCAATAGCATTCTTCTAATCACCAGGCACACCAAACTCCAGACACTAAATTTGATATATATTGCATTAATAAAACATAGTTGATATTATTATTCCCCAAGTAGTTAATGGTTTCCCCTTTAGCAGCCCCTTAGAAAGAGTTTTCAGTCCTTAAAGGTTTGGCAGTCCCAGGACTGTGGGGCATGTGGATGACAAAAACAAGGCTTAATACATTATTTTACTGCATGTGGGAAATAAAATATACACAGGTAGGTAAAGTTAAGTTCAACCAAGTTTT